ACCCAACACAAATCCAATGAAACATGCCAGATGACAATAGGCTTGTTCACATATTACATTGAACCAAGGCACAAGTTGTCTCCCTACGGAGTTTTATGTATATAGACTCAACACTCATTAAACATTACATGTGAATAATTGTACAGGTGTACAGCTCACCTGTTATATACACAAATTCTAAACTCATTGAATTCTGTGTGTGAATACACCTATTGTAGCAGTGGAAGATTCAGTGATCTGAGAAACAAAATATTTCATTATTCATTCTGTATTTTAAATGTCTGAAAATAAGTGCTTTGGAACTGGTTCAGGGATATATTGGTAGGCCTGATATAATTTGTTCCTTGGGGATACATACTTACCCTTTGATGAATAACTGTTTCCACATATCCTGTAGTAAACAACACTGTGTTCATTTGGTCTCTATCATGAAGAAAAGGATAAAGGACTATAATGTTCTAGGCTGCTGCCTTCTTCATTCACCTAATATTTACACTGAAACTTTTAAAACAGTATTAACTGCTCTCTCACACACCTATGTTCAGCCAGTTCTCTCCTGTGGGGGTGGTAAGAATCCAAGATAATGAAAACCTGAAAGAAGCTTGAAAAAAACATTAATATTGCTGAGGATGGACCCATTGCTTAATTTTGGCAATTTGGAAATATATGTTTGTTTTCGGTTTTATCCCTGCAGTTCTCTGAAAGAGGCAAGGCAGAAAAAATTGTAGCTTAATTAGACTATGCTTCATGAATTACCTTTTATTTTGACAAACATATCAATGAAAATAAGAAGGGGAAACCGATAATGAAGATTGGGGTTTCATTGGCACCCTGTGGGTGCAAGTTACATCTGTAGAGAAAAGAGATAAAGGCTTATTGCTGAAGACCTGAGAGAGGTGGGAATGGTTCTATTTTCTCTTCTGCTTCTCTTGCCATCACTGTTTATGTTCCATCCACTTTTTTCCTCTGCTTCCTCATTCTCTTTGTTCTGTTCTAAAATTCATTCCAGCAGTGTCACTACTGGTAGAAGAAGTGAAACATACTGAGATAATAATATGTGTATTTATTTTATTAAAAAATTCCAACGGTAAGAGTTTAAAACGGAAGCTGGGGGCATGTTGGATGAATTAAATAATAAGAGTCAGGTTATCAATTAGTGCTTTTCAGTACCATTGATTTTAAACTGGAACATTTAGGAAATTACTCACATGTCTTGCAATTGAAATTAATGGGTGATAAACATGTTTAACACTCTCTAAAGTGTTTTGTTTTATTTATTTATGTTTAAAAATGAAATATTGGCCTTATTGCACATTTCTATTGTGTAATTTTATAGAGGGCAAATGTTTTGCATTCATGAAACATAGAATTCCAGTTTTAGTTCTTTCAATACTTCTCTCTTCCCTTCTTTCCCTTAGTTTAAGCAAGCATAATTGATTTCTCGCAGTGCGGAAGGCAGTGGAGGACAGAAGTGCCTGGCGTGCTCTGGTCCATGGGGTCACGAAGAGTCGGACACGACTAAACGACTAAACAACAACAACAAATTGATTTCTCCATGCATGGTCTGACTGGGAATGCCATATGGACTCTTCCATGCTTCTCAAACCCAGTTTTCATGCCTGTCTTATCTTATCTAAAATTTCAGAGTGGAAAAAGAATTTGTCTGCCCAGCTGCTACCCATCTCTCCATTTCCTCAAGTGACTGTTTCAGCAGCACATCACAATGAGGAACCAGACAAGGATTGTAACTGAATTCATCCTCTTAGGTTTCTCTGATACTAAGGTGGATGAACCAGTACTCTTCACTTTATTCTTCATCACCTACACTGTTGCTATGGTAGGCAACTTTATCATTATTACCTTGGTGTGCTGTGAGAACAGCCTTCATAGCCCAATGTACATGTTCATTGCCAACTTGTCTATTTTGGAGGCTCTCTACACCACCACAGTTATCCCCAAAATGCTAGTCAACTTCATGAGTCAGAGAAAATCCATCTCCGTCCATAGTTGTATCTTGCAAGCCTACATTTTCTTCTCAGCAGGTTCCAGTGAGTTTTTCCTTTTGGCTGTCATGTCGTTTGACCGCTATCTTGCCATTTGCAACCCACTGAGATATGCAGCCATCATGACCATGCGCCTTTGCCTCCAGCTTATTGCTGCCTCCTGGATGTGGGGCTTCTTTGCAGTCCTACCACCTACAATCCTGATAGGCCAGCTGCCATTTTGTGGACCCAATGTCATTAAACATTTCTTTTGTGATGTTGACCCCTTACTCAAGCTGGCCTGTTTTGATGTAAGGAAAATTGAAATGATTGATTTTGTAAGTGCAGCTTTGCTGCTTCTGGGCTCATTACTGGTGACAAGTTTGTCCTATATCTTCATCATTGGAACAGTGCTTAGGATCCCTGCAGCCAAAGGACGACAGAAAGCATTTTCTACATGTACTTCTCATCTCATTGTGGTGACACTCTACTATGGGAGTTGCATTTTCATGTATGTTCAGCCACAAAAAAATCACTCTTTAGACCTGAACAAGGTAGTCAGCATACTGAACATAGTGGTAACTCCATTGCTGAACCCTTTCATTTATAGTCTGAGAAACAAGAAAGTCAAGGAGGCCCTGAAACATCTTGCCAGGAGAAAGACTTCCCCCTTAATTAAGCTCAGATTTCTGAAACAGGAAAATGGACCTATGCACTGTGTAGTATTAAATAATGGAAGTTGATAAAGGTGGGGAGGTTGGTGGGAAGGTGTACAAACATCTACAAGGGTGGGGAAATGGTTCAGCTGAATTTTCTAGATGTGTAGATCATTTTCCTGGGAAACATCTAATCTTTGTTACTGTTCGAAATCTCTAACAAATGTGGTGTGGTGGAGCTTCTGGCTTTCAGTGAGGCGATATTCATTAAAAAATTTACTCAGTGATGAATCTCACAGGACAGTCTTTGAACAGATACTGTCTTACAGTCTCAGCTACCTCAGAGAGTTGGTTTGAAAACAGTAACACTATAATCCACTTTTTTTACTTTCTGTGAAAAGGGGCATATAGCTGTTATTAATAATTTTGATAATGATGAGGCTGAGAATGACCTGAAAACTCTATTGTGTGAGTCTCAGATGAAGAAAATGTAACCTCAATATAAAATGTTTTACTTGGTTAATGACAATTATGCAATTGCATTTCTGAGAGACATCAATTTTACGATTTAAATTTGTTTGTTAACTATAATTTTCCAACAAACATTATTATCACACTGTATCCAGCTGTGAATTTCATGAAGCTAATTGTGATAAACTTTAATTGTTACATTTGAAAACTTAAGCAACAATTCAGTTTTTGGTGGTTACACAATTCTCTGTTGTAGAGAGATTACCATCAGTCACAAATAAATGGGATACACACACAGTGTGTTTGTGTGTGTGTGTGTGTGTGTGTGTGTGTGTGTGTGTGTAATGCTTCTATTATGGTTCCAGCAAGTCATGTCCTTGCCCTATTCCAGGATATCCATTCAATCCCTTCCAGTGTTCTGGTTTTCTACTCTTCCTGCAACAGTCAGGCAGCATTTGGTACCAATTTCTCTCCCTCCCTGTCTCTTTTACAAAACTCACACACTCTCTCACAAACTACAAACCCAGGGATGCAGATATCTCCCTACTGTGCCTGTTTGGTACTATTTGGGCTATGTAAGTTTTTACACAACTGGAGAATGCCACGTATCATTATGATATGGCTGTTTCATCGCACCTTTTTATGAAATTGAACTGGGGTCATATAGAGAGGGCATGCTGACATCCTGATGCAGGGAATGGTGATGTTCTAGTATTTTGTGCAGTATGCACATGCATTAATAGAAGTAAATATACAGGCAAGTAAATGAGAAGGATTAATTTCCAAAATTCTGACTTCACAACCTGAATCTGCATTAACTATTACTTTCAAGTTTCTGATCCTTTTGAAACACACACAATATTTCACGTATTCCCTCCTGATGAGCTTTAGAGACTACCTGAGAGTCTCCAGTTCTACTGAGAATAAGTTTGGTAGTCTCTTTCCCAATGTCTTTTGCACTCTTGGGACCACAGATACAATGTGTGATGCCACCTGTAGGCTGCAATGCATTTATTAACAGGCTCTGTTGAGGGAGAAGTCTGAGGATTTCAGTAGGGCAAATTGAACACATGACATATCATCGGGGTTAACCTGAATGTTCCCTCAACCTGTTCAGTACCTATTCATATTTTGCAACCTCATGTCATCCAACTGAAAGGTAAGAATTAAGCAGTTCATAATTCTTGCCTTTCTTTTTCCTGCCTGCACTTAACCAATGAGTGCCTTTCGCTCTCACAATCAAAATAGTCCATGTATTTTTCTTGACATTTCTTGACATTTCTATTAAAAATAGAGGGGTGGGGGTGGGGGGTGGGGCACTGAATTTTATTTCCATGTGAGGACAGGATGAATGTTGCCATTTGATTCACACAGTTCCCAGACCCCTGCCTCCTACTCCAAATATGTGATCAGAATTGATAGCAGTTATCTGTGTCTGGGGAAGGAAAAGTAGGACCTTCTAATCTAATGTGTCCATCCCCAATCAATACTACCACGGCATGATAAACTGCTCTTCACTGAGCACTATGTGTGTGCCATAAGATTCAATGAATTTAACTTCTATTGTAGTTCTAATGATTTGAGAGACAGGTATATTGGATAAGCTTGGTATGGGGAGAGCGGGCAGCACTATGCTGTTCTCTGGTATTTAGAGATGATGAAACTTATCTCTCTCTCCCCTTAAAACTTTAAATCCATTCAGTTATTGTTAATGGGGAGGAAATAGGGGGTGGGGGGGGCAACACCCATGTCAAAATTATGACATTCCCCCCCCCCAGATCAAAAGTAGCCTTTTTAAGGGGGGTATATGAGTAACAAAAAGAGAATGCTGCCTTACTAACTTTGGTTATGCTGCCTGTTTTTTTGTAGGGCAAAATGTATTAAGGACAAAATGTCCAATGAAAGCACCATTACGGAATTCCTCCTCCTAGGTTTCTCTGAAGTTCGGGAGATACAGCTTGTATATTTTGTGATCTTTCTACTGATCTATATGGCAGCATTGCTAGGGAACATCCTCATCCTTGTGGCTGTGGTCACAGATCCCCATCTTCACAATCCCATGTACTTCTTCCTGGCAAATTTGTCTGTTATGGACCTTGGGTACATCTCAGTCACAATACTAAAAGCCATGGCTAACTGTCTCATGAACACCAGGTTGATATCTTATTCTGAGTGCATCACTCAAGTCTTCTTTCTCTTTTTCTTCATGGCATCAGACTTTTTCCTCCTCACAGTCATGGCGTATGACCGGTATGTTGCCATTTGTGACCCATTGCATTATGAAACAGTAGTGAATAAGGAAGCCTGCATCCAAATGGTGACTAGTACATGGATCAGTGGTCTCCTTTATGCAACATTACACACTGGAGCCACCTTCGCTGTTCCTTTCTGTTCCAACACCATCAATCAGTTCTTCTGTGAGATACCTCAACTACTTAAGCTCTCCTGTTCTGACTTGTACCTTGTTGAAGCTGTGGCTCTGGGCTTGAGTGCATGTCTAGGACTCGGCTGCTTCAGTTTCATAGTTGTGTCCTATGTGGAGATCTTCAAAACAGTGTTCAGAATTCCTTCGGCACAGAGTAGAGACAAAGCCTTCTCTACTTGCATTCCTCATCTCAGCGTTGTCTCCTTATTTCTTTTCACTGGCATCTTCGCCAACCTAAAACCAACTTCCAACTCCCTGGCGGGTCTGGACAGTTTAGTTGCCATGGCTTACTGTGTTCTTCCCCCACTGATGAATCCAATAATTTATAGCATGAGAAACAAGGAGATCAAAGCAGTGTTGTGGAAAATCTATGGCAGATCCTGGAAAAAGCATACCAAAGGAAAATGTGGCTGTATAGGTCTGTGGCATAATATGCAAACAGGAACATCTACTCCCTGAGTCAGATATGGAAGTTTCTGACTGGCACATAGTACACAAGATGATTTGAAGCAGGGGCGCCACATATAGGGACTGGAAGGGCTTTGGCCCCCTCAATATTGGTGGGCAGGGGGCTGAGCCCTGCATTATTGAGGGGGCAACCATCCTCCGCCACCACCGGGTGCCCTCCGGGTGCCCCTGCCCTCACCCAGGAGCCAGGTGGGGACTGAGATGAACAAAGGGCACAGATCACCCTCCATGCATCCTGCCTCCTCCCAGCGCCATCATGTGACACATCAATATTGAGGGCAAGTCAGCTCCCATGATTTAAAGTGTACCTACCCATGTTCTTATGTCTTCATTATGACCCTGTTCTGTTCTGTGTCCCATTGCTTTCTTTTTTTTTAATAAAGTGGGTAGGCACATACAATTGTGTAATTGTGACTAACCTAGACTAGATCATGGTGTTACTGGTAGGTTCTTTTGGCTTCATCTCTGCTTGTCTTTAGATGTAAGGCTAAGATAATGACATTTCAGCATGCATATGAAATGGATCCCACAGGGATGATCTGGGCTTTTTTAATGCTTTTTCCTGGTTATTGCTGCAGAGGCTGCATGTGGTGTATGAAAAGAGATAAAGAGATACAGTTTCTATTGACTTGTTCTTAGAACAGATTTTTTAACCTTTAGTTCATTATATTTACTATAACTTCAGTTGTCCTGAAGGTTATGACTGTGGATAGAAAGTCAGAATTATTCTTATTTTATTTTTAAAAATCCTATAGTGCAAATAAAAACCTTTGGCAACTAATTTTTGATAACTATTTTGATTCATTCATCAGAGTCATTGTTACTTGAATTCATTGACCATTACTTTGTTGGGTTAGTAACAACAAGTTTTGCTTTAAATATGTGAGTGGGCTGCACTTCCAATTCCAGCAATGAAAGTCAAAGTACAGTTTTCCATGCAGACATTAATGCTTTGAACGTAAAAAGAGACTCCTTAGCGGTTGGTGAATGAAATAAAAGCTGAAATGCTTCTTCCAAAATCTCCTGTGCTGTTTGTGGTTGATTATTGGTAACAAAATAACCTGTGATGGGAGGGAGAGAAGGGGGCTGCAATTATCCAACACACTTCTCAGAAATCTATCATATGTGAAATTTCTGCTCATTTAATGTGAATAAAATTGCTGTGTTGGTAGTTCACATCAAAAGATCATGGAAGCAATTGGCAAAGGAGTGAGGACTGGAAAAAGTAGGGACAAGCCCATTGATAAATTCAACAACATGATTCAATATTTAAGACCGATCCACCGATCCTTCTTGCAATGAGGTTTCCAAGTGCAAGAAGTGCTCACAAAATGTATTTATGTACAAAGTGGACGTTTAATAGGGAAATTAATTGTAAAGAATTGAAAATGTAAAGAATTTTTAAAAATGTGTATTTTACAGGAGGAGTGTGTTCAGAAAGTGTAAAAAAATGTGTGCAATTTAAATGCAGAGATTGTTAATCATTTCAAAAATGAACAGGGTTTGTGTTTCCTTTCGAATGAGGTACAGCAGAGGCTATTCCAGGAAATAAAATCCTTGCTTAGATTTAACACTTGCCAGATCCAGCGATTAGAAGGGGATCTAGGAATAAAAATGAAACTCATAACAGTATTGTTTCTCAAAGCAGCTTCATTCCAGAGTCCTTCAGCCTTTCCTAAATTCATGTACCGTCTACAACACCATAGGTGGTGAACACCTAACACACCCACACATCCTCCTCCCATTTCAGAGCATCAACAAATTTTGCCCTTGGACCCCTTCCCACTGCTCTCTTAACCAATCCCTCACTTCCCGCTCCAGTTTCCTCAAAAATTCCATAACCCTGTCCCTCCGATAAGCGTTTGCTCTCAAATATTTTACTTATTGTCATTATATCCCCCCTTTCTCCCAAGAGCTGTAAGGTTATCCTTCCCAAGTGTACCTCATCACCCAGTTATCTTAAATGCTGAACAGAGATTTAACCTGGGTTCCCTAGTCTAGTCCAACACTCTAAGCTCTACACTATACCGGCTCAGAATAGTCAGAATAATTGACTTATGTTAACTCAGATTCAGTACTTAATTTGACGCTGCAGCATTGATATTTTGGTCAATAAAAAGATATAAACCACTCTGTAGTTCTGAAATAGTCTTCCCATTCAGTCTGGCATTCAGCTCAGCCTACTTCACTCTTAAGCATTCCTTACATAAGACTGACAGTTAAGGTCAGTGGTTAAGATCAGAGGGCGAAATATTTCTAGGAAAATAGACTACCCACCCTGCATTCACTTGTTTCGTAAATCCCGATTGCCAAATCCTCCCCGTGGCAC